GGAAATGGGAAATTATTACGCTGCTTTGGTTATTGCATCCCTTCGGCTCTGTCTACAGCGCAGCAGGAACGTTCTTGTGCCCTGGAGCTCATCCGATAGCTTGGTGACCTGAAGGGGAGGGGTGAAAAGGGGGGGAGGGGGGGGGCTTACTGGGGCTCCTTTGTCTCGGTAGGCAGGGTAAAGACGTGATCAGCGCCACTTTGAGTCACTTGGAGTGGGTGCCTCTGCCCAATGCCGCCGAGACACTTAATCCCAGAACCCCGTTCTTTGCAGACGAATATCCTGAGATTTGCTAACGGTGACGACCAGTGTTTAGTGCTTTCTCTTAAAGACGAGCCCTGCATTGGCGAAGGCATGAAAACTGACCAGGGCACTGCTTGAGCTTTGCCATTTCGCTGTCTTAGACCTTTCCACTGGTCTAAAATGTCCCTATTTCTGCCCTTGAAGTGTGCCCAAGTGCTGCCCTTGTTTCCCCAATGCCCCTCCTCGACGTTGTGCGCCGGAGCGAGCTTGCATGTCGGCGGAAGCAGGTACCACAGCGACACGATTTGTACGCGGGCATCACACGGAATGAAACATGGCTCTGCTCTGTGCTTCACGCAGCGCAGCAGCGGCGCTGTAGTTGTGGACAGCTCTGCCTCCTCGGTGGCGCCCTGCCGCGCCCCGCCCCAAAGTAAGATGGAGTGCGCCTTTGTCCATCGCCCCCCACGCCTCTGCCTGTGTGTGCGTGGCTGTGTCCGTGTATCCCATTTCTCTGTCTGGTTCTCTGTACCGACCCCCCCCCCCCCCACACACACACTGTACTCCCTTTTTATGTCCCATCTCTTGTCCATCCTCTTGTATTTCTTACTTGATTAGGTTTTTGGGAGGAGGTGTTCAAACCCCTCACGTTTTACGAGCATGGTGTCATTTCTAAGCTAAAAATTGGCATTCTAAGGGAATGCCAAACATTGACATTCTGAAGGGAATGCCAACACAATAATTCTGAGGGGAAGGCCAATGCAAAAATTTTGGCTAAGAAAGGCAACTGCGTCTCTTAGATTACGCAGATATAGGTGTGAATCCAGTACAAATCTATCGATCATAGTGTTGCCAGTGCATTATGATGGCGTGTTCGAAAAATTGCATCCCCATTTGTTTGTCGTGTGTGTTTGTGGTTGTAGCTCCGTGATCACCCCCCCCCCCCCTCCCCTTTACCCCCGGCCGCACCGTCGCGCTGCAGCCCAAATAAAGCTCCGCCCGGCACGTCTTGATAAAACCCGGAGCTGGCGTGCGGGCGGGGCGGGGCGGGTGCTATTTTCAGTGCGCCCGCTGCTGCTGCTGCTGCTGCCGCCGCCGCCGCCGCCGCCGCCACACCCGCCGGGCTCAGCAGGGGCTGCCCTGAAAATCTTTTCAGACTGATAGTGAACGCGGGACGTGGCAGGAAGCGGCCAAGGCGACTGAAACGGAAGGGGGGTGCGGGGTAGATAGGGGGGGAGGGGAGGGCGGTGGTGTATGTCGTAACCCTGCTGGAAGAAATCGGTGCTAGGAATGCGTGCGAGGACGCGTTACACCGTATGGTGCTTGGTGTTATTAAAGCACTTGAAGCACCCCAAGCTGTGGTGGCAATTTTGAAGTGGACTGCTTCTTAGTTTCCAAAAAGTGCGAGAGGTTTTTCAAAGATGCTTTTGGAGACCAACGATGGGCAGGCGCGGACAGTGGTTGAACAATGTCCTTTCTCTTTTTTTTTTCAACTCTCGCGCTTCTCTGCGCCTTGTGCCTTTCATATCACCCCCGGCGTCGTCTCGCCCCAGCCACCCGTCAAACGCGTTGTGGAGAGGAGGGGGGCGGGTGCTGGGAGGTCCGGGGCCTCGCGGGACGTCAGGGGAGGGAATCTAGGCGCGAGAGATACGTCGGCGCGGGTCCGGCCGGCAGTGAGAGCTGCTTGCAGCCTTGGGGGACTGACAGCTCGCACTCTCCCGCCCTTCCCGCTTCGCTTCCCCCACGCATTTCATTGGGGACACGTCGCGCAGTGCTTATTTCTCTTTTCCTCCCCTCCACATAATTCTGGACGCACAAAAGCAGCAACTGTCCCGGGGGACAATGGTGATCAGCCCCGTAGCCATTCACACCCCCGGCTCATTGGAGACTGAATGCCGGGGCGGGGAGCTGGACGCCTCCTACAGCGATTGCACTTCCGCTGGGCAGGGCCCGGCGCCCGGCGCGAGGGGGCCTGGCTGGCCGCACAATGCAAGGCGCCGCTGTACTGTGCTCGTACTTTTCTCTTGCTCTCTTTTTCTGTCTGTGTCTCGTTAAACTTTTTCGAGGAGGATCGATTGGAAAGATCTTGAGGCGCTGCGCTCGTGCGCGGCACCAGGACTTCCCTCTGTTCCCACTTCTTCCTCCCCCTCCTCCCACCTCTTTTTGCAGCACGTCTGAGACCCCCTCCGGCCCCCCTTTTCTCCCGACCGCAAGGATCCCTAACTTGTGCGGTGTCAACACGCCGACCACGTATGTGGGAACACGGGCCCGCGATATTTCACCCTCTGTTTTTCCAATTTCAATTTCTTCCGCAGCAGCAGATCGCATCTACAGCTGCTCTGCTTAGATTCGCACGAGTCCTGCCCCCTTCTAGCTCCTCTCTGTTCTTCTTCCCACTTACACAAACACACGCCTCCTGCACCAACATCAGGCCACCGCACGAGGCGTTATCGCTTTTCAAGTCCTTTGCCCCACATTCGCGCGGGGAACTGCACTTCAACAACAAACGCGCATCCTTACAGTTTCCCCCGCCATTCCTTTCCTACGTCCTTCTCTCTCGCCATACATAGCCACCTCTGCCCCTCCTCGGCCTGCTCCCTCTGCTTTGCAAATTGGCAAGGCTGTCGAGGACAGTGGTCTTTAAGCGGTCCTGCTGGGGTGGGTGAGCCTGGCTGGACGGCCTGGCTGGACAGCCTGCCTTTCCGTCGGTACAGCTGCTGTAACTTGGCTACTATCTCCTCTCTTTTCCTGTTGTGCCGTCATGGACCGACCAGCAGTGGGTGGGAGGGACACGTTTGGGCGGTCGACCCTTTCCTCCTCCCCCTTCTCTCCCCCAGACTTGCTCGCTCGCTGGCCCCTCTATCTTCTTTGCCACTTTATTCCCTATCCCTTCTGTACCTAGTTACGTTCGCGAGCGCTCCTGTTCGTGTGTTCCTGCCCCCTCCCTTACCAAGCCCATAACATCCTAGTAAAGCGGAATTTTAAAAAACTGAAGAAAAAGCAAGAACCAAACAACGGAAACACACACACAACAATTCACCAAATCAAAACCGAGAATAAAATGACAGAAAGAAGCCTGTTAACTTGTTTATGAGAAAAATTGTTGTCTTTATTGAATGTGGCTGAGCGACACTGAGCAGGTATAATCGCTGTTATATCGCAAATGTGGAAAAATGCGTGCGTCCCCGTCCCCCTCTCCCGCATATAATTGTGCTCACGAAATTTATCGGCGTTAATCCCCTAATGGAGCTCATGGGAGGGAGGGAAAGGGAGGGTTGGCGGGGAGGGGGGCAAAGAGCTGAATTCATTACTGACACCATCAGCCCTTTAGAGCCCCTCCCTCCCTCCCGCCTATGCTCTCCGGGTCAGTGGTGTGAGGCGGGGAGGGAGGGGGGGGGGGCGTGAGCGATTCGGGTAGAGTGGTGGGGAATAGGGGGTGGAAGGATGTTGAGCTAGCATAACTCGCAACTAAAGACATTTAGTAGCTATCTGCGATCTGGGCCAGATCTGGGGCCGGCGACGCAGCAGTGGAGTAGGCCGTGCTCCGGCCGGACCGTCGTTGGTTTTGCCGTATTAAAATGCCCGACAAGGCGGCCGACGCGACGCGCTGAATAACGATTGGAAACGGCTCGCGGTCCAGTCGTATTGGGCGGAAAATTATATTGAGAGAAACGCCGCTGTATCCGATGAACGGGAATTGATGATTGCGCGACAAGTCAGTTATGCCGCGTCCATCGGTGTATTATTCTGTCCTCGTGTGGCGTGTGACAGCGCTCGGGCAAGTTCGATTCGAGCTCGTCGTATACACACTCGTGTCTCGTGTCGCCCAACTTTACACCGCAACGCTTGCACACCACTATCCGGCCGGCTCACCAGCTCCGCTCACACGCACTGCTCACGCACACCAGACCGGTCCTTCGCCTATAAATCAATCTGCGGCGTTTCATGCCATCTCTTGGCGTCAGCCCTCCCGATGTAATATATAGCGTCTGCATGTCGTCCTCAAAGTGCCGCCCTCCCCACCGTCTCCTCCTATCTGTCCCTGTGTTTGTCTCCTTCCTGCCCCCCTCCTCCTCTTCCTCTTCGGGCCTCCTCCCCCCCACTTTGTCGCTAACCACTTGGTGACGGTGGTGGGCCCACATCTTGGGGGGGGGGGGGGCGTGTCCGTAACGCATTGCCTCTCACTCTTATGCCCTCGCAATCTCACACTCTCTTCTTCCGTTTTGTTCTGTTCCCTTTTTTTCCTCTCGGTTTTCCGTCTCCTGTTCGTTTATGAAGGAAAGAAAAACAGGACGTCGCTATGCTCCTGGCCTTGGTACAGCTCGCCCGTGCCTCGCCCCGGGTACCGCTCCAACGGCAGCACTTTAACTTGTAACTCGCCAAGGCCTTTCATTAATGCCCCCCGATGAGTAAGGTCAAACGAGCCACCCTCTGCTGCTGCCGAGGCGAGTACCGGTCGCTGCTTGTCGGCTAATTAAGTGCAAACTCTTTCTTTTTCGCGGAGTGGCCTTCATAATCTTGTTTGCCCTCCCAATTTATAGTAGTTTCTCTCTGACGCCGCTTACAGAAGAGCTCCTCCGTTCTGCACCGACGGCTAACCGTTGCTCTGCTCCGACTGTGGCCCGCGCTATGACTTACAAAAAATTAAAAACGTATTTGAAGTTGGTTATAAAGTGTAGATGGATTGTGATTACCCTTCACACTAGAAAATGAGTTGTGTTCCAGCTTTCCCGTTTCTAATGAGCCGTCTCTGCTTCCAGGTGAGCCTGTCGGACGCCCACCAGGTGGTCCTTAAGTCCGTCCGCCTCAACATGGCTGGCAAGTTTCGCTGCGAGGTGTCCACAGACCAGCCCAACTTCCACACCGAGATGGTGGCCGGAGACCTGCACGTGGCCTGTAAGTACACCACGACGACGACAACGACGATGCGAACGACGGCCGCCGTGTTTTCTGCTCGATTTTCAGGCAGCAGAGAGATGAAACAGAGTTAAACCCCCTGGCCTCTCCGTCGCGTTCGCGCGCGGCACAAGCGCCCGTGGAAAAAGCGAGCTTTTTGGTCGGTGCGAGAAGTAATTCGCCGCACGGATGCGGCGATGCGCGAAATGGCGAGGGCGTGGCGCAGCGTGGCGCAGCGTCCCCACATCATTACCCGGCCCACCTGGCAGCCCCCCTCCCCCTTTCCGCCCCCCACATCTACCTCCCGCGGGAATTATTTCCCTTAACGAACGAGTGTGAAGTTGCGCGCTGGTGTGCGGCTCTGCAGGCGGCAGCGGCGGCGATCACGCGTGGCAGAGCGTGGCAAAGAACTGGGGGGGGGGGCGTCCACAGGGGATTTAGAGGCCTGCTGCTGCTCACACCACCACCACCACAACCGCCGCCGCCGGCCAGACCAAAACTTTCTATCGCACCGTAAGTATTTTCCATAAATCGCAACGTGAAGGGCGCGGCGGCCGCGCGGCGGTCTACTTCTCCTCGCGGCGCCTGTGCGCCTGCGGTCGGGAGGGTAGGCAGCCCCGCCGCGCTCGCGCGCGTCACACGCACGGCTTTGCCTATGTGCTGGGGGCCCCTCGGGCCGGCCCGGGCCCGGGCGGCGGCGGACCGCTCGCTCGCTCTGGTTGAATGGACTGAATAGAGTGGCGGTGTCCTCGGCGCGGGGCCGCCGGGGCATGCTCGGCCGGGGCACGACGTGTGGTTAGATAAGGCACAACAATAGGAGGCCAGCACACTCCTAACAGAATATGCGCGTACATCCGTGCTCTCGTTCTCCCTGTTCTCCGTGTTCTCTCTCTCTCTCTCTTACACACACACACACACACACACACACACACACACACTCAAATTCTTGCCCTTCGTCTCTACTGTGAAAAATAGTAGCAGCTTTTACGGGAAAATTTTCTTTGACGCGTGTCGTAAAGTGACAATGCAAAATTGTAAAATTACAAGTACTCTACTATGTATCGACCTGGAATTATTCACCGACGAGCAAGTTTGAAGTGCCATAAATTTACAAAATATTTGAAAATTTTAATTACGAAACGTATCGTAAACTGACAGGGATATTCTTCACAGTGTTTCCTTCCTTCCTTTCTCCTACTGTGCTACCTTGTTGCCTTCTTCCATTAGCTTTGCACCGCCCCTAAATTCTCAATTCTTGTTGCTAAAAGCGGCATACATCCCCTTGGGCGACGCATCGACGCCCCATACGACGCTGCTAGTCGACAGTCGGAAAAAACACGCGACCTTACGCAAGTTTATACGTCACCGCCCTCCTTTTGCTCTTCTTTCTTTTTTGTTGTTTTCCCTTTCCTTTTTTGCCGGGCCCGGTGAGGCGCGAATAATTAATTGATGGGGGCCGCCTCGCGCCGTTGTAAGGAGTAACACAACCTGAAAGGAACTGCGAGGAACACGGAGGAGGGCCCTCTCAATTAGCCTGCTAGCCCCATAATGCACGAACC